CTAGGAGGCCTACTTCACTTACTAATCGTTTCTGGGTCTAAGCGAACATTCCCAACTCTGTCTCGTAGCTGTCAGGTTCCTTTCCCTTCAACTCAATCCTAGTTTGCAATAAATCTTGATTTTGCTGACAGCGCCCTTTCCTTCCTCTCCTGTTGCCAAATTCGTTGTGCAATTTGCTCCTTCCTCCCCTCCTTTGCCTATTTAAAACTATTGCTGTTACAAGACATTCCATTTTCCATCCCCTCTAATTACCGTGCTATCTGTTACTGGTAGCTCCTTTCCTCCCTCTCCTGTTGCTCGTTGCGTCAGGGCTTCTTTCCTCCCCTCATCCTGTTCTCTTTTAAGCCATGCGTTGCCTTCTCAACAATCCTACCCATGTGCCATATTTACTGTCTGTCAGTGCTTCCTTTCCATCCCTCTCCTGTTTTCCTGAATCAATGTTGTGCAGTATGCAATCCTTCCCTCTCTCCGCGCCTCTGGCGCAGGGCTCCTTTCCTCTCCCGTTGCATAGCAGGCTTCTTTTCCCCCTCCTATATATGCATTCTGTTGCTGTCAGCGCTTACTTTCATCTTCCCTCCTCCTCCTGTTGCCTATCATAGTTGCTATGTCAGGTGCTTAACTTCTCTCCTTCTTCATCTCATCCTCTCCTTCGTTAGCCATCGTTGCTCGTCAGGGCTTCCTTCCTCTCCTCTCCTCTCCTTTTCCTCTGTTAGCTGATCAGGTCTTGCCTTATCCTCTCCTCTCCTCTCCTGTTAGCCTTCCATATGTGTCAGGCTGTCCTTCCTCTCCCTCTCTTTCACCGTCTTTTGCTGTCAAGTGCTTCCTTTCCTCTCCTACTCCTTTTTCCTCTAGTATATGACTGTTCAGCTCCTTTCCTCTACTTCCGTTGCTGTCAGGCTCCTATTCCTCTCGCTCTCCGAGTTTTATCTGTCAGGGCTTCCTTTCCTCTCCTCTCCTTTGTTGTCACAGCTTCCTTCCTCTCCTCTCCTGCTGTCATTGGTCTTCACATACTCTCTCCTCTCTTGCGTCCAGGCTTCCTTTCCTCTCCTCTGCTGAGTGACTTGTCAGGCTTCCTATTTCACCTCTCCTTCTCCCTGTGCTGTCAAAGGGCTTCCTTATACCCTCTCCTCATCCGCTTGTCTTGTCAGCTTCGCTTTCTCTCCATACTCTCATGTATGCTTGTATCAGGTGCTGTCCTTCCTACTCCTCATTCCGTGTTGCTTAACAAGGCTGCTTCCTTCCTCATCCTCTCCCTGTGACTGCAGGGCTTTCTTTCACTCTCCTCTCCTGTTGCGTCAGGGCTTCACTTCCCCTCTCTCCTCCTGTTGCTGTCAAAGCTCCTTCCTTCCTCTCCTGTTGCTCGTCAGGCTTCCTATTTAAACCTCTCCTCTACCTGTTGCTTCAGTAAAGGCTTCCTTCTCACTTCCTTCTCCTGTGCATGATCAAAGTGGCTTCCTTCCTACTCACTCTCCTGTTCTGTCAAAGGGCTTCCTTCCTCTCCTCTCCTTTTTTCTGATTGCTAGTCAAGGGCTTCCTTCCTCTCCTCCAATGTTGTTGTCAGGGCTTCTTCCTCTCATACTCCTGCTTATGCTGACAAGCTTATTCCTTCTCCTTCACTTCCTGTTGCATTAGTACAGGGCTTTCCTTCCTCTAGCTCTCCTGTTTCCGTTCCAGGGCTTCCTAGTTCCTCTCCTCTTCCTTGCTGTCAGGCTTCCTTTCCTCTCACCTCTCTGTTGCTGTTATCAGGGCTTCCTTTTCCTCTCTCTCCTGTTGCTGTCAGGCTTCCTTTCTCTCCTCTCTCTGTTGCTGTGTCAGGGCTTCCTTCCTCTCTCTCTGTTGCTGTCAGGGCTTCCTTTCCTCTCCTCTCCTGTGCTTGTCAGGGCTTCTTTCTCTTCTCCTCTCCTGTTGCCTGTCAGGCTTCCTTTCCTCTCCTATTCCTTTTGCTGTCAGGCTTCCTTCCTCTCCTCTCCTGTTGCTTCTTGTCCTCTGTTGTTGCTGTCTTCCTTTCCTTTTCTCTCCTGTTGAGGGCTTCCTTCCTCCTCTCCTGTTGCTGTCAGGGCTTCCTTTCCTCTCCTCTCTGTTGCTGTCAGGCGCTTCCTTTCCTCTCCTCTCCTGTTGCTGTTCAGGGCTTCCTTTCCTCTCCTCTCCTGTTGCTGTCCAGGGCTTTCCTTTCCTCTCCTCTCCTGTTCTGTCAGGGCTTCCTCCTCTCCTCTCCTGTCTTCCTTTTCCTCTCCTCTTCCTGTTGCCCTGTCAGGGCTTTCCTTTCCCTCTCCTCCCTGTTGCTCAGGCTGCTTCCTTCTCCTCTCCTCTCACCTGTCTGCTCAAGGGCTTCCTTTCCTCTCCTCTCCTGTTGAGCTGCAGAGGCCCTTTCTCTTGCAAAGGGGCTTTTCAGTTGCACAGCAGGGTTTCCTTTCCTCTCCTCCTCCTGTCGGGCTTCCTTCTCTCCCTCCTTTCTGTCGGCTTCTTCCTCTCCTTCACATGTTGCGCTGTCAGGCTTCCTTTCCTCTCCTCTCCTGTTGCCTCTGTTGCTGTCAGGGCTTCCTTTCCTCTCCTCTCCTGTTGCTTTCATGTTGCTGCCGTTGCTCCCTTTCCTTTCCTCTCCTCCTGTTTTGCCGTGCTTTCAGCTTTACCTTTTTCAGCTTAGAATTTTCGTATTGCTATTATTACTACTTATCAGTATATAAAGCACCTTAAACAGTATCATCAGGAATAGTGGTAGCGGTTTCATTATGATTCTTATTGCAAATGGTCTTATTTCACCAGCCAAAATTTCATGGTTTTGAAGTACAAGAAAATTTTACATCTGCGTTCTCTTCCTCTTTGAGGTCGTTATTGTTTTAATAATACCCTCATGTCATCTTTACTTGATTATCTTTTATCTCTGTGGCTGTTATAGCTTTCTTCTTCTATTCCAGCCAATGCCTTTTCTTTCAATCTTTCTTTTTGCCTTGTATTCTCATTTTTTCTTTTCACACGTCCTTGCCGCCCACATTTTATGCCAATGTTAGATTAGTCTTATTTTTTGTATTTATTGGTTGTTTTAACTTGTTTACATGCATTTGTCTAATACATAGATGATGCAGAATTAATCTCCTAGGTCAGTCTATCATCCTTGTCGTCAGAGTGAAGGAGTTTTATGCAAGTGTCTTGCTAATTCCTTGTTATTGTTGCCAGTAAATAAAATGTTCTCTGTAATTTGTAGGATATAGCTTTGAGTACAGCATCTAGTTGATTCTTGGCCAGAAGGTTTTTTTTTTCCCTCTTTACTAAACTTGGCAGAAATGTTTGTTCCCTCTCATCCTCTTTTTGCTGTAGCTTTGTTGCATTTTTGTCCCCATTATTTTTTTTGCTAAAATTACATTCTTTACCAAAAACATTGACGTTCCTGATTTCCTTTCTTTATCTAATACTTGAATGAACACAATTGCTATTCAAGGTTAGTCAGTCTTTACTGATCAGACTAATGTACAGAGATGTTATCTGTTGCTATCTGTTTGTAGTGGGCTTAACCTTGTCTCAGCAGACAGTTGTCAGCACTAGTCATGCTGGGCTTGTCAATCGCTTGGAGTCACAAAAGCATTATGTAAGGAGGAAGGGGATGGAAGCTGGTTGTTGGGAGATTCTCTTCTTACCCTTGAGGTATGGAGAATAATTGCCCTGTGTAGAATAATTGCACTATAACATTTCTTTGAAGAGGAGAAATTGGTTTACATAACTTTTCTTATCTCTTCAGTAGAACCATGTGATTACAATGCTATCACATACAACCATTCAACCTTGCAAATATTATTCCTCGTTTCATTTATTCACATTGTAATGTGCATAAATCTGTAATTTCCATTGCTAATGTTATAAATGAAAGTATTGGTAATGGATTACGATGGGCATTCACCCTTTTGAGACTAAGCCCCTATTGCTACAGCCATTCCTAGAGATCCACAGATTACCCTATGAACCAAAAATATTTCTGGGGATGCCAGACCCCCATCTGACCACTGTATTTCTCTACTGGGGGCTTTGCTCTAGAATTCCTACTTATTTGTTGACTTAAGTGCTGCATAATATTAGATGTAATATTTATTTATGACTGATCCTCTTTGCTTGCACAGCCTATTCCAAATATCAGGAAGTGAATGTTTCCCTTTGATAATGTCATTAGATTTTCTTTTAATGTATAATCAGGTATTGCATGTAGCACAACTTTCTTGTTATCAACTTGTGAAGGAAATACCATAGATGGTCTTGTTTCCTGTTCTATACATTACAGGCAAAGTTTACCCTGTACCATGACTGTGAAACTGAAACAATACCATTTGATTGGTAAAATATTTTGCTTCAAAAGAATGGTATCTTTATGTTAGTTATGAATTGGGAGATTTTTATGTAGTTTTGTTTACTAAATGCTGGGAAATGAGATATTGAAAAATTTATTGTGAAATGTAAAGATTACCCTCTTGAGCCTCGTTTTAGTAGATTGAGAATAGCAACTTCATGGATTAATGTAGCAGTTTCATACAATGTACCAATATAATGAGTTAGGTTTAAAGCCTTTTTTTTTTCATTTGCAGTGTTACTGTAACGACTCGGCGCGGATCATGGACCCGACCCCCCTGCAGCAGACAGTGATGGAGTCCCAGGAGGTGACCTCCCCCCCCCAGGAGGTGGACCCCAGTGCCCCCACCCCTTCAGATCCCTCTTCAATTACCAATGCCGACCAGGCTTATGAACCACTGAGTTACGATGAGGTATGCAAAGAGGTTTCCCATTTATGTATGTTGTGTAATTGTTGTTCATATTGTCACCATATTAGATGGTATGGTATGGGAGATTGATGTGAAAATTCTATTTTTAAATCTACAGTTGTTCCCAGCACTCCCCAATGCTGCCCAGGCACCAACTCCTGTGGCAGAAGCTCCCCAGACCAACTGGAGCAAACACAGTGAAATGCGAATTGCCTCTTCTGTTATCACTCAGGTTTGTTAAGTATTTTAGCTTGTATTTTGACTTCTGTGAACTAGCACTTGTCAGTGCATTGAAAGTTGAGTAGAACTTATCATCTATTTTGTTTTGCAGGTGTTCCGTGTTCCTTTTGAAGAAAGAGCGAAGATTGATGGTAACAACCAGTTTGGAGAATCGGCCTCAACGCGTATCTGTTCTGACATTACTGGCCGTACAGGTGCTCACATTGAGATCTCCTCTGCAAAGGACCAGTCTCTGACCTTCTTGGTGACTGGCAAGAGCGATGCCGTGATGAAGGCTCGTCGACTAGTGCTAGACAAGTTCCAGACTCAGGCACGGCAGATTATTAAGATCCCGAAGGTATGTCAGGTGTATACAGATGTATTTATGTAATATGATAATTTCTAATCATCTTCAAAAGGTTGATACCTGATCATTGTTCAGAAATTTCGGAAAGTGAATTAAGAGATTGTGTACATATTGGTCCATGAAAATTTGTTTCACCTTGTTAATTTTTTTTTTTTTTCTTTTTTTTTATCAGGAGCACCACCGTTTCATTCTTGGCAAGAAGGGAAAGAAACTTCAAGAGCTTGAGATCAACACTGCAACCAAGATTCAGGTGCCCAATGCAGCCGATAACTCTGACGAAATCATTGTTGTGGGAACAAAGGAGAGCACCGAAAAGGCTATGCACGAGATCCAGCTGATTTCAGATGAACAGGCAAGTGCTGTAATGCATTGTAGTAAAAGCAGTTGGTTGATTTTAGGTAACTTTGTTGATATAGCTATGATTGTGCTAAATACATGAAAATACCTTTTTGGTGATAATAAGATTTCCTTTCAGAGCAAGCAAGCTTATGAGAAGCTGGAAATTCCCAAGCAGTACCACCCATTCATCTGTGGTGCTAACAACGAGAAGATCAACACCATGATGACAGAACACAATGTGCGAATCAATGTTCCTCCTCCCAGTGTCATGAAGAACGAGATGACCATTGCTGGGGAGAAGGAAGGTGTCTTGAAGTGCAAAGACATTATCCAGAAGTACTTCAAGGAAATGGTATGCTATTAGTTTGTCATCTATCTTAGCTTTTTTTCAATCCTCAGAATGCAAACAATAATTTTATTTAATTCTTTAGTAATTTTGATAGGGAATGTTGACCCAGCTAAGCATGCAAAAGATAAACTAACAAGTTTCTACTTTTCAAACAGGAGCGTAAATGCCAGACTGTGTCAGTAGAAGTACGCAAGTCTCAGCATAAGTACGTCATTGGCCCGCGTGGGTCTAACATCGCTGACATTTTGCACCAGACAAATGTTTCTGTAGAAATGCCCACTACAGATTCCACCTCCGAGACAATCACACTGAGAGGACCTCAGGACAAACTTGGTCAAGGTATAGCACTTTGATTAAACAAGATTTTTCATCTAAATGAATAAAGATTTTTGTTGAATATGCAAACTATTTTATTTGTGCAGTTTAGTGAAAGTAGAGATGATTATAAGGAGTTGAATGGTAAAAGAGACTTAAGTGAATTGCTTCCATTTTTCTCTAGCCTTGACACTGGTGTATGCCAAGGCTAACAGTGTAGTGCAAGCTGATGTGGAGGCCCCAACCTGGCTCCATAAATTCATCATTGGACGCAAGGGAGCCAACATCCGCCAGATCACTCAGGATCTCCCGAAGGTAAAAAGGAAGATTTAGACCAAGAATCTATCTGAAGTGCTTATTTTCTAATTAAGTGATGGGAAATAAAGGCTTTGATTAGATAGTGGATGTGATGAAATATTGGAGAAGTTTGCTCTCATCCTAAGCTAATGTGGGAAATTTTGCCCGTCTCTCCAGGTGCATGTGGAGTTTACTGATAAGCAGGGTGGCATCAAGCTGGAAGGACCACCAGAAGAGGTTGAAGAAGCCAGAGAGAAGCTGGAAGCTATGATTGCCGACTTGAAGAGCAAGCTTTGCTACGACCAACTAGTTGTTGATCCTAAGTAAGTATTTTTTTTTTATTAATATTTTTTTAGGATGCAGGTGGAATTCAAAATTTGCATTTGACTAGATTGTGTTTGGTAAAGTTATAGTTTGTCCATTTTATTTGACAAGGAAGAAATACAGAAATATGAACAAGGTAGTTTGAATTGCGGGCGTCTATCTGGTTTATTCGGAGCTAGCTTGCTTTGTAGGCAAATATGAATGGTCTAGTCTAATGTCTTAATACATTTTTAGATTCTACAAGCATATCATCGGCAAGAATGGATCGAACATCAACCGTATTCGCAATGAGACTGGTGTCCTCATTAATATTTCGGAGGCTGATGGCAGCAATCTCATCCGCCTAGAGGGCAGTCCAGATGGTGTTGCACGAGCAAAGACTGTGAGTACTTGTATGCTTTGAACAAAAATCTAGGTTTTTGGTCATCCAAAGGCAGTTGACATATGGTGATCCTGTAATTCAGATAAACTAGGCTGAAATGTTTGTGGGATATGATCCAGAATATAATTTCCATCTCAAAGGAACTGGAGGAACTTGTTACGAAAATGGAAAATGAGAAGGAGAGAGAGATCATCATCGAGCAGCGTTTCCATCGCAACATTATTGGCACCAAGGGAGATAAGATCAAGGAAATTAGGGATAAATTTAATCAAGTGCAGATCTCTTTCCCTGATGCTGGTAGGTACCATTTAAGATCTTCATTGAATTTTGAAATATTTTATTTATTGAATTAGAAATTGATAGTGGAATATTTAGGTATATATAGAAAATATAATTACTATGTACACACTACTAATAAAGTGCATCTTTGCCATCAGGCGAGCAATCAGACATTGTCAAGATTCGAGGGCCTAAGGAGGATGTCGACCAGTGTTACAATTTCTTGAAGCGCATGCTGCGTGAACTCCTTGAATCCAACTATCAAGTGAAAGTGTCTATTTTCCGTCAGTTCCACAAGTTTGTCATTGGCAAGGCTGGTTCAAATATTAACAAGGTGAATATGCAAGTGTCACTTGCTTTGTTAAATAAGATGAAAGGATGGGTATGGACACGTTTACTTAAAGCTAATCTCTCCATTACCTTTCCTTTTTTACGGTTTGAATAGCATAGATTTCTAGGGAAGTTACTCTCATCAGGTTCATTTTATAGAAGTATTGTAGCAAGTTTAATGTCACTTGAATTTGAACTTTTAAGTTATTAATATTTTTTTACTAAATCTGCCTCTAATTCATAGATCAGGGAGGAAACTGGCACTCGCATTGACCTGCCATCAGAAGGCCAGAACAGCGATGAGATTATCATCACTGGGAAGAAGGAGAATTGTGAGAAGGCCCGAGAACGCATCCAGAAGATCCAGGATGAGCTGGTGAGGACTAGTATTATTGACGTTTTTGGTTTTGGCTTTGAGAAAATTTCTAGATTTTTAAAAATGATTGGAGACATTTCCTTTTCAATTTTTTTTTTTTTTTTTTAATTTCTCCATGAAATTGTTTGCTATATTTTTCGTTAAATTAAATATTTTATTCCCTTCCCTATTCAGGCAAGTATTGTGGAGCTGGATATCATCATCCCTGCAAAGTTCCACAACTCCATGATTGGTGCCGGAGGAAAGCTGATCCAGAGCATCAGCGAGGAGTGTGGGGGCGTTGCCATCAAGTTCCCTCCTCCAGAGTCCCGCTCTGACAAGGTATGACTTTTAATTCACTTTTAGGGATTGATTAGGGGAACACTCTTTGAAGTTAAAAAATGTGTAGTGCTTGATACTACAAATTCAATGAAAGGATTAAATAAATTACTGCTACATTTTTCTTGATGACTGTGATGCTTTCAGGTGACAATTCGTGGTCCCAAGGAGGAGGTGCACAAGGCTAAGCAGATGCTGGTTGAACTGAGTAATGAGAAGCAGTTGGCTAGCTTCACTGCAGAGGTAGGACAATGCAGGCATAAGTGCTGAGCATTTTCTGTTTTTTTGAAGTTGTTAAATGAGTTAAAATTGGGGTTTTGCAAAGATCGAACACTTAAAATTGGTTGTGCTTTAACCACTAGCTGCCAGGTGGCATATATGTACATGGAATAGCTGTTGTGGACCGAAAAACGGATTGCATTGTATCGTGACCATTCCCGGGCCATTAGCTTGTTAGCCGGAGTTTGTTTTTCTCTGATAGTAGCGGCTTCATTTATATGGTAAAGATTTTAGGCAAAAGCACCTATAGTGAAGGTAAACCTTCAAAATTATATTTTTATAAGTTAAGCAAAATAAAAAGCTTTCAGGTGCCAAGTGTTGCTCACAAACTGCCGAAGGAGCCAGATGCAAACAGGAAACTGCTGATGCGTGCCAAGTCCCGTTATTGCGTCCATTTGCTAAATTTTCTCACCCGGCGGCATTGGGTTAATAAGCAGGTCTTCCCGGCCAGTTTCAATATTTGTACTTTTTTGACTCCCCAGGTCCGTGCCAAGCCTCAACACCATCGCTTCCTTATTGGACGCAATGGAGCTAACATCCGCAAGATCCGTGATGCCACAGGAGCACGCATCATCTTCCCGACTGATAAGGATGAGGATAAGGAGCTGATTACCATCATTGGCAAGAAGGTGAGTAGTTTTATTAAGATTCTTTGCAGTAAGTTATAACAGGGCTTCTGTTAGTGTTTGACAAAAAAACAACAAAAAAACAACTAAGCTTGTAGGTTGAGAATAGCATTATTCTCAATACCTTATCCTGATATCCCATGGACTAATTTCTTATGATTAGCATATCAGTAAATTGAAACAAAAGTAGATTTCTGCTGCAGAAGAGGTAGTAAGAGGAGGATACTTAGCTCAAACCATATCCCTTAATATTTCATAGGAAGCCATCGCAAAGGCTAAAGAACAGCTGGAGATAACTATCAAGGAGTTGGATCTTATTGTCGAAGACACCATGACTGTTGACCCAAAACACCACAGACATTTTGTGGCACGCAGGGGAGAAGTCCTTAGGCAGATCGCTGACCAGTATGGTGGGGTCACCGTCTCCTTCCCACGATCAGGCGTGCAGAGTGATAAGGTATGTAGAAATGGGATTTTGGAAGATGAATAGTTAGTATTTTAAGCAACTGATATTAGTGGTTAATGTATTATCCATTTCATAGGGGGAGAAATTAAGCATGGGTTGTATAGAATAATAAAAATGGCAATTTTATCATTGCAGGTTACTCTCAAGGGAGCTAAGGAATGTGTAGAGGGAGCCAAGAACCGTATTACCGAGATCGTGAATGACCTGGACCAGATGGTGCAGATGGAAGTGACCATCCCGCAGAAGTTCCACCGCACTGTCATGGGTGCTAGGGGCAGCAAAGTGCAAGCCATAACCACTGAGTTTGATGTACAGATTAAGTTCCCTGAGAAGGATAGTGGAAACAATGCCAATGTTGAAGAAGGCCACGGACAGGTGAATGGAGAGGTGAATGGTGATGGGGAAGTAGCCATCAGGCCACAAGACATTGTGCGTGTCATGGGCAAGAAGGACAACTGTGAGAAGGCACGTGATGCTCTGCTGAGTCTTGTGCCAGTCACTGTGGAGGAGAACGTACCCTTCAGGCACCATCGCTTCATCATTGGTCAGAAGGGAGAGAATGTTCGCAACATGATGACTGAGTTTGATGTCAACATCCAGGTTCCACCAGCTCAGGACCAGAGTGACATCATCAGGATCACTGGCCCTCCAGCCAACACTGAGCGAGCTAGCGCAGCCCTCAGACTGAAGGTTCAGCAGCTGGAGGAGGAGGAGAGGGACCGCCAGGCCCGCTCCTTCAGCCTGCGTGTGGAGGTTGACCCAGAATACCATCCCAAGATCATCGGCAAACGTGGAGTGGTCATCACCAAGATCCGCGAGAAGCATGATGTGAACATCCAGTTTCCACCGAGAGGTGATCCTGAGGAGAACTTCATCACCATCACTGGGTATGAGGCCAATGTGAATGAGGCCAAGAATGCCATCTTGGCCATCACAGGGGAGCTGGACAAAATGGTTAAGGAGACGGTTGAGATTGACAGCCGTGTTCACTCCCGTCTCATTGGCAGCCGTGGGAAAGCCATCAAGAAGGTCATGGAGGAATACAAGGTAAGATTGATTTCCTATTAGATCAGGAACATGAATAGATTATGATACATGTTAGTCATTATATGTAGAACTAATAGCTTTTGAAGTCAAAAGTTGCCTGTGAAGTCCAGTAATTGGAAATTTTCCCTGTTCTCTTAGGTGGAGATTAAGTTCCCACGTGGGGATGACGATCCCAACACTGTCACCATCATTGGAGCCCAGGACAATGTGGATGAATGCAAGGACCACCTTCTTAACCTCATGGAAGAGTACATGCAGGACATTGTCGAAGAGGAGGATATGGAGGCCTACATGAACCCTAAACCTTTCCAGGCTTTGTTGGATCCTGGGCTCGGAAGCCAGGGACAGGGAGGGTCCAGTGGGCAGGGTGGACAAAAGAAGGAAGAGGTGAGTGTGGTTGCAGGTTTCTGTAGGTTATTTTTTTTTTTTTTTAGGTTTGTAAGTGCTTATGTCGTGTATTCATATACATGGATATTTGCACCCAGATTGATAAATATAAATATCTTTTATTGTTTTATGATGTATAATTTTGTTTGAATCTTTATGCCACTTCATTATGTACGTTACTAGTAAGCATACCAATTCATGGTGTTTTCTTTTTCAGGCTGGCTTCGTGGTGAGTGGAGCTCCATGGGCACAGGAAGCTCCAAATATGGACTCGGCTGTTGACTTCCCCTCCATGGGAGCCATGTCTTCAGCTCAGAGCACCCCAACCACCTGGGGTCCTCGGCGCTAAACTCTTCTACCTTGGTGTCTACTGAAAACCTCTGCTTTAATTTTTTTTTCTTATTTTTTTTAGTTTAGTACATATAAATTATTTAAATATTCCACTAAAGACCATGTTAAAATGACTATGCATAGAATTTTTGGACTTACCATTGTTGTTAGATTATGACTATGTGCTTGATTATAAAGTGGCACATTTGATTGTTTTAGGAATTGTTATATAATTTTGATACTTTATTAGATTCGATGTCTTCATTTCTCATTATTGAAAGGTCTTTTTATACATTTTTCTTGTAATAACTTTTTTTTTCTTTATTTTTGCGGTGTAGGGACAAAGAGCGAAAGTTGGTCGCTTGTACACTGGACAGATTGATTGGGGGATCATCCCTGTCTAGTTATTTTTTTTCTATACTTGATGCTGTGTGGTGTTTTTTCTTTGGGGTATTTTTTAAGTTAAGAAGAAAAATATGGTATACCCTTATTTCACATTGAGTAAAAGGGGACACTAACAACACAATTAAGTATAATTAAAAAAAAAAAAAAAAAATGTAAAAAAAAATAAAAAACATCAGTAAGAACACTCACTGGATCTCTGCCTGTCACCATCACTAGAAGAAGGTTGAGAAGAGCCTTCCTCAAGAGAGATTCCAGCAACAACCATCACTTAAGTGGATCTTCCTCACTGTCTTGCTGCACGTTGACGACCCTTTAACCTGACCCTGGCCAACGCTAATTGGAAATATTCGCCTGAGACGAGTCATTCTGCCAGTCTTCCCAATGTACACCAGAAGCGACCCCTAGATGAAAGGTGTCCCATTCTCTCTTTATGGAACACTTGTATATGCTATGCTCATCGCCTTTTGACCTGTACTGTTATAATCATATGTTGCCTCATCTCGACAAACCTCTCACCTTTGATGGCACACCTTTGACCAAGGGGTTGTCAGGGGCTATTTAAATGAAATAAATATGAAAATGCTAAAAAAAAATCTTGAAATAATATTTGTTATAATTTTGTTACTTTGAAAGGTATTACAGTTGTTACTATACTATATATTTTGTGTATTTCAAGACAGAGGTGAGGTTACATGAGTTATGTGGCACCTTTTGGTCTTCTTGACCTTCAAATGCAAGTGCTGCTATCTGTGGTTTTCACTTAATAAACATATATTGGTACAAATATTGTTATTTTTTCCAGTTGAAATATTTTGTATGAAAAACCTAATAATCACTGCACACTACAATATATTTTACAGAACACACCCCAAATACTTTACAATTCTACACTAAATCCTGTACATATACATATACATACATGTAGACCTACTGAGCTTAAGGCATTGTAATTGCCTTTATGCTGTAGCAAGTTAATGGCTGCATAAAACATTGCAAATTATGAGTTGCCTAAGTTCAGGAACCTCTTGGATTTTTTTTCCCCATAATTATAATCCTAAGATTGTTTTCAGAAGGGTAGTGGTTAAAATTATATTGTTTTAAGCAATTTGTGTGAAAAGAGCACACAATGTTCTATTGTTTCTGATAGTTAAGTATGGTTGTTCTATATAAATTGAATTTCGACAATATTTTATATAGTAAAGGAAAATGATGGAAGGTTGAATTTGTTAGTTTACATAATGTAAAATATAAATGCGCAAAGTTCTCCTGCTCAAGGCATTACTGATTTATGGAGTGTATAGAGTGCAGTTAACCAAATTCAAGTATCCCTTGCAGCATTCACTTTATGTAATGGTCAAAAACGGCAACTTAATATAGCACATACTTCTGGGAACTAATTGTATTATATTGCTGCCTTTTTATTTTTTATTTTTTTTCTTTCCTTTCAATTACTTATTTTTTAAAAGAAAGGTGTCCTTATACAATCACTACAGTTGTTTAAGGGATGGTTATTGTTAATTGACAACAAATTATCTTGGATGTAATAACATCAGTTTCTTGCATTAATCCAAATCCATTGGTTTTGTCAGAAAAAAAATGATCTAGGGATTATGCTATTCTGTTTACAGTATAAAAAAAATTGTAAGTTTTTTGTACTTTCACAAACCATTTCATGGCAATGCTGGTCATCACACTGAAAATATTGATTCATTGAAAAACTTTGCATTCTTAGATTTTCACCACTAATTCAAAAAAGCCATTATTATCAGTATTCACTCTCATTAGATAATTGTCACTTCTGTATTGCTGGCCTTTTTATTATAATGATCCGTTGTCATTTTGTATATAATAAAGGCACCATCACATTTAAAATTGTATTTTTGATACAAAGTAGACCATAACTACATTATCTTAGTCCAAAGATGAAGGTATCAATTTCTGCTTTCATTAAAGACTATTGTCAAAACACGTCCAAGCCTGTTTGGTGGGCATGCCTGAATGGAGACGTCAGGTGTGTCGAATCAATTGTTTAGCTAGTACCTTGCCTGCTGCTGGTTCACTTCTCAGATGTACTTATCAGGCCTGCTCTAAGACATACCAGGCTACCATCACTGCCTTCATAAATGATAAAAATATCAAATACTATCATCAAAAAGGACTACTGAAATATTACCTTCACTACTGATTATTATAGCCGCCTTGTAGGTATTTAATGTGTGCACAAGTTAAAGGATATTGGCAAACATTATTGCATGAACTACATTTTCATTGGCAAGTGTTTAATTAAATTTGTTTTTACGTTTCAGTGGGAATAAAACCAATGTTTATATCAAACAGGAGGAGGAAAGTGTTTTCCTCCTAGTTCTTTACATACTCCTAGGTTTCAGTTTCTAGTTGAATTTGTAAAGTGACAAACAGTAAATAAACTGTTTAAGGGCAAAGAGAACAAGCATTGGTAATTTTAGTTTAATCAAGATTCCATTATACAAAACACATCTCTTAACTGTTTACAAAGAAAATTAATCTTTAAAAATCCTTAAAAGAGTGCTAGTCAGCATAAAAATAACAGTTCACTTCACTTTATTGTCACTCTTTGTCTTACAGAAGAACGGGTGACTTTCTGGCTATATAAAAACAATTATACATAAGGACTATAATTTGACAATTCAAATAATTCATGCTAATTATTCCTTATCCCTGTTTCCAAAGTTTCAAGTAGGAATTTGAGAGTACCATTCACTAGGTATAAATATAATAATAGTAACATTCTTCAGCACCGTATGTCCCTTGTAGCTTACTGGTTGAATTATACATTGCTATGATTTTCAGTACAACATGCTTCAGTACCTCTGGTGTGTAAATTCAGCTGCTTAAAAGCTTCCAGAAATATGTATGAAGGAGATTGTTGCTTTTGTCATATTACAAAACATTTCAAGTCCGACAAGAAAATGTTATTAAGCATTTCTAAGTGAAAGTATGACATAAATTTTGAACATATTTACTATGGAGAAGCAGTATACCAAGGTCATCAAACATATACCTAAACTCATCAGCAATAAAGGAAAGGAAAGGGTCACTACTACTATTGCAAATGCACTTCAACTAAAATTGAAACTGGGGAGGGGGGGATAGAAGAGAGATTTCCTTATGAAAGCAATACTCATAATTTAAAAGATTATGAATTGTGATGCCAAACAATTATTAATGATAAAAAAGCTATATGGTATATCCATATATACAGGATCAATAATTGAACACTTAATACTTCCACTCTAAGTACAAAACAGTCCTGTTACACTGTATATTATATTTAACTTTGCATCATTAACTATTAGTTATAAGCAAAAATAAAATTCCAATGTTTACCAGTATCTATAAACATTAAATACAGGGCCTTATGTTTGTTCTGGCAAACAAACATAATTATGTTCATGATTTATCCAGTAAGTTCCTCAACTCTTCTTCAATCTCAAACATATCCTCAAGCCTCTTCTCAAACTCCACATACTTACGCTTCTCCTTCTCAATGTCGATAAGCAGCTTTGAGGGCTTTTTCTTCTGGCCTGTCCTTTCCTCAGGCACCTGCCCATGTTTTCTCTTCCTAGATGTGGGTGGGAGGTTCTCATTCCTGGTTGTGGCCCAGCTCAAATCTGATGCATCGCATGCTGCCCACCATGAGGGAGGGTATTTGAAGGCGTTCAGTTTGTCAGGCTGGTGGTATACAGTGAGGTCAGGGAGTCCAGTTAACTTGTGGGATATGCAGGCATAGATGAGCTCTGTCCAGGGCAACTGTAGAATGTGGATTTTCCAATCTAAATGATCCTCTTCTGCTTCACCATTAGGTGGCATCAAAATGGACAAGGAATTACTTATAAGCACATTCAGGTGTGACATGAGGACAATACTGCTATTTTCTTGAGTGCAGATTTTGGTTGCATACCTGTGCAATGAGTCTTTTATGGCACCAACAGTCATATAATCCGCCAACTCTAATTTGGGAAGTTTTAGGTTTCTGAGTATGGCTATTAACCTATCAGCATCAGAGTTATTCCATGACATAGGTGGTACTTGCTTTAGATGACTCAAACCAGGAGCAGGCCAATCAAGTTTCAACAGTTCTTCATCCTCAACAACACATAAAAGGTGATTCACAGCTTCATTGTACAGGTCAATATAAGCTTTAGGTGGAAGGGGTGACTTCCCATCTTCTATTCTTTCATGGTTTTTGTACAAAAATGCCTCCACAACTTTCTTAGCTATAAAACCATACACAAAATTGTTCAGGTGGATAGATACCACTTGTAACCGTCCATCTTGCTGATTCCAAAGATCAAGCATGTGAGAGAGCAATTTCTGAGAAGTTTCTAGATAGTACAGATCACACTCTGCCAATTTCCAAACTGGAGAATCCAAAATGCCTTCTGTATTGTCAATGCAAGGTTCTTCATCAAACTGTATTGTTAACTTTGGCACATCAGATATACTCTTCAATATATTAAGGGCTTGACTATTTACATTTTGCTTTCTTGCTTGTGATGGTAGCAAAAATATCACAGCTGAAGTTCCTTTTATATCATCAGAGCACAAACTGTTAAGTGAGACTTCACTAACCAAACATGCATACTCCAGACCACTGTTCTTCGAAATAAAACTAAAAGAACTATTCACACACTCTTGAATATTGCTGTCATCTATTGTTCTTAACTTGGATCTAAGCCACTGCACAATGATTGGGTTTGTGTTCTCTAAAGTACAAATTAAAACCTTAAAGTACTGCTTTATCAAATTGATGGGCTGTAAGGTTCCATCAACCACCTTTTTCATTTCTTGCTGCAGAGGTAGGTGATGCCAAGCACATGCTCTAATTAGGTGATTCCTAAGAGTCATCTGCTCTATGTTCTTGGCTACTGTGGTTTCTTTACTAGACACCTGGAAGGCAGACATGTTTTCTTGCCTGCTCCTGTGATAGCCCCATCCAAACAGCTCATTTTGCTGATTTATAGGCCATTGAGAACAACTTGCTGGGAAGGTCTCTTGGGCTTGCTTTCGCCTCTTAACTCTCAAAACCTGACACCTCCACCTCTTGAATGAGTCTCGCATCTTTCGCATGGAAATTTTTTGTTGTAGCCGAGTAATTTTGGCTTCAAGTTCATCCTTCATTGCAGTAATAACCTCTGCACTAAGTTTCTTCACTTCACTTAGCATAACTTCTCTGCACAATGTCTGTGGCATTTCAACAATGAGCTCTGCAATTACTACTTCCCATGTTTCCTTCTCTACTTCTTGTACAGCTTTTGTGCACAAATTTCTCACAAACTCTTCCACAAACTCTTCTACATACTCAGCACACAAGACCTTGGCCACTTTCTCAAGGAGCTCCTGCATGGCTTTACGCTTCCTTTCTTCTTCTTCAAGAAGTCTTCTCCGCCTCACCTCTTCTTCGTATTGAACTCCTTGTAGCGCTCTCTCACATATGAGATGGATTTCTTCTTTTAAACACTCCGTTAAAATTTCCTTTCCAGCTATTTGAGCCACTTTGTTGATGGATTCAAGATGACATTCCTCTTTTGCTTCCTTTGTTATCTTGAAAAGCATTTCCTTTATGACACTAGATGAGGTGGTCATATAAATATCATTCATGCATGCCATTAACTCTGAAGTGGTCCACTGCTGAGTTTGTTGAACTGGAGGTTCTCTGATCTCTACTGCTGGTACTTGCTTTCCCACTTGTTGGTCTGAAGCATTGTATGCTTCTTTCTTCAAGTATCCTTGACTGTCAAAGCTATCATGAGGAACATGCGTCAACAGTGGATTTTCAGGTAGGGGACCACCCTGAATAACTTCACCCACTGAGCTAGTTCTGTTGCTCTCAACCATTTTTAATGGCCGCACTAATGGTGGTTGCTCCTCAACATGTATAGAAAACAAGCTCCTATCTAAAATCACATTCTTATCAGCTACCTTGATTCCATACACCTGCAGGTAGCTTTCAGCATCTGCTTCATTCTCAAATCCCAGGATTGTTATCACAGTTTCTAAGGGCAGTGTTTGTACTTGTTTTGGAGGAACATATGCTTTCATAAGTGTGTCCAAAGCTTTTAAACGTACCTGCCTGAAATACCTGTGCATCACACATGCTTGTAGGTATGTGGCACTTTTCATCAGCTTGAAGAACTTTACATAATTGTTGAACATTAGAGCCATTCCTACTTTTAAAGCAAATTGGACTTCCTTGGACTTTTGTACTTCTTCTCTATATTGTGAATACTGTGTAATGAAAGTCTGTCCTTCATTCAGATTTAACAACAACTCATAAGCACGAAACTCAGGCTCAGTTTCAAAATACTCCCCAATTTCTCCCAGGTCCTGGTAGAGCTCCTTCAGAGTCTGCAAGCTTTTAGTGAGATGCTCAGTATTCATCTTGGCATCAAAGAGATCAGGGGGTTCCTGGCAGAAACGGGCAGCAGCATGAATGTGGAATCTCATACACCGTTCAATAATAGCAACTGCTTTGCCATCTGTTAACTGCTGCTGCATCAAGTCATTGCGAATAGCCCTGGTTCTATTCCACAAATAATTGTACCAAACATCTGTCTCAACATCTTCATCTTCCCCACGCTCTATGATGTTACATACTAAGAAGTCCATGGTCTTCAAGAGAACAGGTCCAGGCCTGAGTTCATACGGCAGCGGTTCATCCTTATCTGCGCTACTCCGGGAAAACTTCTTAACAACAAGGCGGTGGTCCATAACCCCATTTGTCATTTCATATGAGCTGAGGTCATTTTGTACATCCCTCATGTACCTTTCGGACTCTGGACACATGTCAGGACAAGTGGCTGAAAGGTATGATGCCTTCTTAATATCAGAGGTTCTGATGATCTCCTTCCGTACCAGACAATCTCTTGCTTTAAGAACATTGTATTTATCATGACTGGTGTTACATTTCGACTGAATGACTTCCTCTGGCTCCTTTCCCTCCACTGCAACAGATGGTTCTTTCATCTCCTTTGCTCCAGCTCCTTGCTTTGGCTTTCCTTTCTTGACCTTTTCTGGTGCCTTCTCCCTCTGTGTGGGCTGGCTTGATACGGCATGGGTAGGCTTAGGCTGGCTTGATCTGGCATGGGTAGGCTTGGGCTGGCTTGATCTGGCATGGGCAGGCTTGGGCTGGCTCACCCTGGCTTGGATAGGCTTGGGCAACTCCACGGTTTCCTTTTCTGAGGGGCGGGGCAGTGGCTCATAAGGGTCAATGTCACTTGGGGAGTGAGCTGACTGCAGTGTTCTGATGGCCTTCTTCTTGGACATCATGGCATCGGCATTGCCATCCTCACTCTTACGTCGTGCTGGAGTGCCATAGAATATTCTTACTTCTGGCAAATTTGGATGTATTTTCTTCCCCTTTTTCTTGGCTCTGGAAGCCGAACGGTGATCTTCATACTGCACCGTTGCCTGATTGGTTCTGGGGTTCAGGGTGACCCTTTTGACGTTTCCAAACTTTACAAAATGGTTCTTTAGTATCTCTCTGTCCATGCAGCTATCAGGAATCTGTGCTATGATGATCTTGGTGAGTTCCTTTTTGTCATACTGAGGTGAAGTTGAAAACTCAGATTTTCTAGACATACTTTGTGACTCTGGGATTTCCAAATCATCTTTTGGTATTGATTTATCTTCACACAGTTCAAATATCTTTCCTAACTCAGTTGCATTACCAATCTGGCTTTTTTTCAAACCGGATTCATCCTGTTTTTCAGACTGATTGCTAAAGAGTGGCTGCGTCATGTAAGCTGAAGAGAATGATTTGAGTTTTAAAGATCCACCAAAGATATTAGGTGCAGACACTGATACTGCTGTGCTCGCAGACTGATCATTACTCTTGCTTGCAGCTCTGTTACTGATACGCCCACTTGCTACACTGTTGCTAAATAATTTTACAGTCTGTGGTGCATCTATAGTGCTGCCTCCAAATATGCTACTAGTACTTGATGTGGTTGCAGACTCAGATGAAGTCTTACTTAATGTAGATCCACCAAAGATATTTGTTGTAACAGTTGCTTGTGGAGAAACTGCAAGTCTAAAAGCCACTGATTCATTTACTTGGCTACTTTTGTCTATTGCATTTGGAAGAGAAGTATTTTTTTGTCCTTCAAAGAGTTTTGGTGCTGTTTGTGGAGAAACTGCAGGTCTAAAACCCATTGATTCATTTACTTGGCTTATTTTGTCAATTTCATTAGGAAGAGAAGAAGTATTTTTTTGTCCTTCAAAGAGTTTTGATGTTGGTGGGGCAGCAAAGACATTTCTGGCTGCAGATGGTTGGCTCTGACTGGTATTTGTTACTCCTCTAGACAGCAAAGGAGTGGGAGCTGGTCTGGTATCTTTGGAGAAATCTTTAGTACTCATAGAATCAGTTTTGACAGTTGAAAATAAACTGGGTGGCTTTATTTCACCTGTCCCTGAGAATGGGAGAGGAAAGGCATTGGGTGAAGTTGATGTTGCTGTATCTCTTGGTGCAATCTTGGCTGACAACAATGAAAAAGTGTTTTTTCCGCTTCCAAGCATTTCTCCATCAGACGGATTAACTGCAGAGAACAGTGAGGTTGTCTGTCCTGATGCTGAAGATGTCAACCCACCAAAGATATTTCCAGATGGGATCCCTGGAGGTGTTGAGGAAGATGAGATTGCTTTTGTATCAGACTGAGGTTTACTCAACACACTGGATGCTGGCTGTATTGTGCTGCTCATTACACTTGACATGCGAGACCCCCCAGACCCCAAAGACGAAGAGGTCATATATCTGTGTTCCCCAAGAGATGTCATACCCCCAAACAGAGTGCTGTTGGGGATACCTGCAACCGCTGATGACGGGGAGGTTGAGGTCATGCCGAAAAAGTTACATCTTGAAGCTGAGCTTGGGGAGGCCGTAGGGGACGTGTTTGTCATCCCCCCAAACAGCATGTAGTTCGACTGACTCGGTGCCTGGCTTCTGGCCATTTGGAGGTACTCTCCCCCCGAAGAGAAGACCAAGCTCACTGATGCCGGTGGTGATGTAGTCAGCTTGAAAGGGTTTTGGCCCTGGGCGCTGTCCCCTGGGCCACCACTCCCATTATTGCTTGCCATGACCTGTAGTATTGAGAGAATGTTACTAGACAAAATATGACAGATCAATTATGGATATTTGAATAAAATGTATCACTGCAATCAAGTAATTATATGCTAACAAAGCATCAGTAATTATAATGTTTTTAGAACTCTAAAGTAGCATTATCATATATGCAGTATTAAATAGAGAGAAAAACATATCAATGAAGGTATCTGGAACAGTAATATTATCATTACAAATTCTACAAACACTCCACAAAATTAAGACAGTGTCGAGTTCCATATACTGTACAGTAGTCCTGTTCACTGTTAGCATTGGGTTTTAGGTCTATTACATAAAAAAGATAATCAAAAGGCCTAAAGTAATCAATCAAATTCACTCAATTTGTATGGAAGCACGAAAGTACACACACAATCACAAACACTTGTCCCCCTCCCCCTAAAGAAATAAAGAAAAAAAAAAAGTGTAAACTGATTTTTCTTCTGCTAAAATTAAAACCGAGCACAATACCTTACCTTATACACAGATGACACACTGCATTCCTCACATGCTGACTGGCTTGTTCAACACCTAGCTATAATGTGAATTCCTATGTTCTCACAATCACCTGTAAAAGATAAATTTAATGAAAAACAAGGTAGCATACATATTTCACTTATGACTTTCTTTTATTCTCTTTTTGTGTGATTTGCCAGTTCATATATATGCAAGAAAAGGATGCATGAGTTTTCATTGTGATTACATTTTGCCATTTTTGCCTTTTTATAGAAATATTGTAAAGAAGTGAAAGAGTAAAACTTAGGAGGTAAAAAAAAGAGGCAATAACATACTATAATTATATAACAACAAGCTAAAGAAAGCGGAAGATGTCAATCAGTTAGAGATAAATAAACAAAATCTACTTTGTAGCTGAGGGTGTTTTGAATCCTCTTGCCTCTTATCTAGAGATAATTTATTCCAGATGCTATATAGTACATGACTCTCAAATTTAGTATCTTATGATGAATGTCAAGAAAAGGTAAACAATTTGCAAGCCTGGCAACCTTTCAATAAGGCGTAATAAACAGTACAGTGAAGTTGCGTACTGAAAAACTGCCATTCAAAATTGGCTGAAAGGAAGGAATATGCATGTTCTAAAAGAGAGAGAGAGAGAGAGAGAGAGAGAGAGAGAGAGAGAGAGAGAGAGAGAGAGAGAGAGAGAGAGAGAGAGAGAGAGAGAGAGAGAGAGAGAGAGAGAGAGAGAGAGAGAGAGAGAGAGAGAGAGAGAGAGAGAGAGAGAGAGAGAGAGAGAGAGAGAAAATATCAATGTAACTTGAAACTTGGGAAAATCATAATTGTATTCTACAGATTGACTACGTTCTATCTAAATGCACTTGAAACTTGCTTTGATCTGTGATGGACTGCCAAAAAACTGAAGTCCCATATTATAAAAAATGTAGGAAAAGGAAAAGCCAAGGCTAAGATTTGGCATCAGAAGATTTGAGACGGTGTTGCATGAATGAACAACTATCATAAAGTTTGCCATACGAACTAACCCACCCCTCCTTCCAATCACTGTGCTTCCCTAGCTGATTGCCATGCTTCCCTAGCCAGGGCAGTCATTTAATATACTATAAACAACTAGAAGCATTTAGAGAGAGTATACCTCCGTCATGGCAATAGTAAAATTATCATAATTTAAGTTCCAAAAAAGATGTTCCCATCTCCTAAAGCTTAAAACCCATATCACCACCAAAACTTACTGGCATCAAAATTAGGCTAAGACACATCACTGGTAAACATTTCACAAAAATCTGCTTATAACTTTTTGAATTATCTGGCAAACCAACTAACAAACAAACCAACACTAACAAAAATACAACCTCCTTGGCAGAGATTAGAATAAATATGAATAAATACCTGATTTAACCAACCATGTTTTTTACTATCAAATATTCACTGTTGCTTGTATTTGAGGCACTCTAGTGTTTTTTAAAACATGTTCATGGTCCTGTGCCAATTCAGTAAGAGTTTATATTTCATACTCATATTGTTTTGAGTTATAAATCACATCACTGACAAAACATTTCACCGGTTCATTACACTCTCTGCAGACATTTGAATATCGCGTGTGACCGTGGTGACACAACCAGCACCCAATGCTATTGGCCAATCACATATCATAGCACCATACAATGATGTCAAACCAGAATTCATGGAGTGCAAATTGTGAATAGATTAGAGAAATTAGTTAACTTAATGAAGTGTGATGGTACCTTATATTGTTTATGAGACAAAGTATGGTACACCAACATGAAATTTTGCATAAATGTCTATCTAACGATAGATAGGGAACTTGGTCTCCACGCAACAAATTTTGGCAGCTCTATTTTAATACGATGAAGTAATTACGTCCTTCCGTGTTTTGAATTTGACTTTCTCAATTCATTTGCATGTTGTTGTTCTATTTAAGTAGCATTTTTTGTCTGTTTACTAAAATTCCATGTCCTCAAGATTAACCCAAGGTATTTTGAATATTTCACATAATAATTCCTTTGCTACCATTAATTTTCTCTTTGATTACCACATACCTTTATACAAACACAGAAATTTTAATAAATTTCATGAAATGTTTGACTTTTTTTATATATAATTACATTATTTTATACTTAGTGGGCTCCTAGATCACACTATGATGAATACTAGTGGCTATTTCTTATACAAGGCCCATAAAGTGCTTTAAAAATAGCCTGCAATTGACACTAGAATGTAAACCAAAAATTTCTTGCTGGCACTTGTCATGAAATAAATGCTCGCATAACTGTCAAAATTCCTGGGGTCAACCTTTACGATATTGAAGTACTAAGCTGAGGCAATCTGAATATATTCTTAAAAAGACACAGAAAATCCATGTATGTAATTCTATACATTCTTGTAGAAAAATTGTTTAAAGGTATCTCATTACCTAAAAATATGGGAAATAAACATAGAATAGCAGACACTGATAATCATGATATAGTAATTTTCATAAGTATGTAGTCTAGTAATACATCAATTAGCTGACAGGTTGGACTAATGAGTTATGCGGTCAGTTTTGAACTTAAAGATCTTGAGTGACTCGGAAAAATTTGGTTCCATCAAGAAGTTTAAACTATTATCAAAGGTACAGTTTGGAAGTGCATTTATTTGTGAACGTAATTATTACTGATAGTGACACACCCTCCCAGAGACCAAGTTGAAAAAAATTATATCTTTCTGCAAAAAATCCCATGATTCCGCCCATTCTTGGTGTTGTTTCTCTTCTGTGTACCAATTCTCCATTAATTATCTTGATTTGATGGTCCCCATAGCAGGGGAGGGCATGAAATATATCAGGGAAATGGAGCAAAACAGGCTTAAATAAGAAAAATAAGGGAGAAAATGTGTAAAACCAGCACAAAAAACACTTAAAATCAGCTATTGAAACTCTACAGAAGTGTCTGCCATCTTTGAATTTATGGGAATCCAACCAATCTTTTGGTAAAATTTACAGGAATTTATAACATCCAAACCACCCCAAAATGTCCTGACAAAATAAATACAACCTAACATAACAATCTAGGTATGCTCTTCGGGCGCTGCCCAAGGGGAGGGCTCTGTCCCCAATACCCCCAAGGGAAACATTTTCTTCACCTAAGTATGTATGGCATGATAGAGCTATGTTCCCACCATAAAATAATAAACAAAATACCTTTATATCTGGTAACACTAAACTTTCATTTGCTTCTTTTAAGTCTGAATCGCTTCATTTTTAATCTCTCTCTCTCTCTTTTTTTTTGGCATTTGGTGTACTTGAAAGGCTCAGATATCAAAATGAGATGGTTATTACATTCTATTTCTTCTTCGTTGCCACTGTATAGTATTAAGGATACCCCAGAATGGATGCAACACTGCAAATCAAAATATTTCTCACTGGCTTCCTTTCATGGAATGGCTGGCATCCTACTGTGAAACCTGGTGCCTCAAAATGTTCAGGCCCAGGCGATTCATGTAAAGAGGCAGTAATGTAGTTAGATTGTTAAGAATGAATAAAGTTAATGAAAAGAAAAACTGAAAAAATAAAGTACCTACAGTAGATAGAAGACCAATTATAATGTATAAACATAAAATAAGGAAAGGAAAGGTATAAAGACATATGATAAAATAATGTGTTTCTAGGTTGCTTGAAACTGGTATACAGAAAATGTGACCTATTTAGAAACTACATTTTCTGTAGACAAAAACAAAGAATTCTGGCTGTGTGAGGGTGTTGTGGACTAATGCTGTATTTGGAACTCCTCGTATTGTTCATCTAGACAACTTGACAGGACCAGCAGGACAACGAGGCTGCATTCGAACCTCCAAGACCCTTGCTGCCCAGAATGCAACCAGCTCAAAAGTGAAACATTCACTATTTTATTGGTCAATAAGACTAACAGGTTAGTGGCTTATTTTTCAATTGATTTTGATATTTATCTGCAGGAAATCCATTGATTTCAACAATTCTTGGTGGCGTTTCTTGTGTAAATGATTTGTTGAGGAGATCTGAGTACCATTTCCAACAACAATCTTGATTTGTTAGTCCTGATAGCAGGGGAAGGCATGAAGTATATCAAGGAAATTATGGGATAAAACATTAACAATTATGAAAAAAAATAATAAGAAAAGTGAACATAAAACTAGCACAAAAAATGCTAAAATCTCTTTGAAAGTCTATGCACCAATGCGCTGAAATTTGAACCATCTATCGGCAAAATCCATACAATTTCACACCTGCCCCCCCCCCCCAATCCTGATCCACAACCCAACCTAACCTAGCAAATTAAGTTGCCATGACTAGGTGTGCCCAAACTGAGGGGAGGGTTGATTGGACTCTCTGCCCCCTAACACCCCCAGGGACACATTCTCTTCACCCCAGTATGTACAGCAAGGTAGAGCTACATCCATACTGGAAACAATACACCAAATACCTTTGTACCTTTGTATATCGAAAAACCAACCTGTCCAACTTTCCTTTGCAACTTTCTACTGTGTGGATTGCTTTATTTCTAATCACTTTTTCGGCATTTGAATATTCATTGGGCTCAGATAGCAAAGTGCAATGTTTATTATGATCTATTTCTTCTTCATTGCCACTGTATAGTCTTAAGAATAAGCCAGAAATGATGCATCACCAAAAACAAAACATTTCTCACCAGCCTTCTCTCTCTGAATGGCCAGGAATCCTCCTGTCAAAACATTTAGCCAGAAATGCACATATGTGCATGTGCAGAAGGTTCTTAGGACTGATTCTTATACAAAACTGTATAAATAAATCTTAAAACAAGTAAATGAGGTATAACAACATTAACCCATTAACGCCGGTATATTTTGAAGCCGAAAATAAAAGATTCCGGGCGGCTACAAAATTGGCGGGCAGAGCTGCCACAGAGTCTGTCCACCCGCCGGCCGTGGCCCGCTGCTGTGTCGGAGTGCGAGCCCCGACACAGCGTCACACTGGAGGGATGCCCGGTAATGTTTATATTCTTGGGTGTCTTCTATGTGGGACACCCGTCGTTAGTGGGTTATTAAAGGCCGTTGAAAGCATAAATATGGAAATACAGACACTGATGATTAACAAAATATAATTTTGACAATCTCATAGTAACACATGAACTACTTGGAACATCACAGTAATGAGTTCTGTGGTCAGTCCAATGTTTACTCTCGACATGTAAACAATATGATTGAATTAGCAAAAATTGAGCTCTCCCCACTGTTCAGTTATGTATATCACCTTTGGGAAGCATTTGCACAAATATTTCTAAAGAAGAAAATTGTCTTGGTTTGAATCATTCTATTTCATATTGGTTTTATTACCCAACTCTGCAACTACCTCGTACTGCATATTGTTCCAAATAAGATATCAAAAAGGATACCACAGCATCTCAAGCAACTGTTATTCCACTTACATTCTGGCAGCATTGAGTGTCATTCTCTTGGCATTTTATAGAATTGTAGCTCTACCTTACCAGGAAATCTGTGGTGAAAATTTGAAGGCATTTGCTAGTTTGCCAAACCCTGAGATAACTGTGAACTTGGCCTGGATAATGACTTCATTCAATACCAACTTCAGTCACTAATCTAGGACATTAACTTCCTTTCTGAAATAAAGTATCATCTCAACAATTGAAAAAAAGTTCAACCTTTTCTCTCTATAACAGCGAGCCAACAAAAACGACGTGAAATA